GTTTTGTTAGAGTTTGACGGTTGCTCTTTGCAAAGCGGGAAGCCAACATATTATAAGCGAATGAACGGAAAAGCCCACAGTAAGACTAAAAAATCAAAATATGTAGGTGCACCAGTAGTGCTGTCTCACCCTGTATATCGAATGTGCCTTTGTTACACCCACACCCATCCTCGAAGCTCACACAGTGTGACCAACACAGGGTGGGTGAAAGGTATGGTTGCGCACAAAGCCTCCGCTACTTTACATGTGACATTCTTTCTATAATATTTACTTATTCGTGCAGTTTATTTATTTATTTGTGCGTACAGTGACGCGCTACGAGCATCAGGTCGTTCAACAAGTAGCGTCTTTTCGTCGTTTTCGCAGTCTCTTTTTCTAATGGAGATTCTTCATATAAGATCCCATGTTTTCATATAATGTTATATACCGTTTGAGAGAAGACTGTCCGCTTCAAAGAAGCTTTGTATCGCGTCTACATTCATTGTGGACTGGATGAATTACGGGCTAGCCAAATGGGCGGTCCAGGATTTCTCCACCAGCTCTATGTTTCCACATTTCTGCTGTATTCGAAAGCATGATTCGCCTTTCCCTTCTTCATAATTTTGACAGGAATTCAGGCTTACGTAATAACGTACCCAGCCAATAGCAATGATGACGTTGCTTTGATTTTTCTTCCAAAAAGCCAAAAAAGCAACATTGATATACACTGCGTTTCATAATTATAGGTCCACCCTAAATTTTTGCTACCCCAAAGTTGCTGTGCATTTTTTGGAAATGCTGCTATCACCATTAGATTCCTCATCACGGAAAACCTTCATAGTGTTTTTCTGACAAAGTTCCCCCCTCAAGTAACCCAATTAACTTTTTCAGAACGAATTTTCACCGTTTCATGAATATCGGGCCACTCATAAAAAGTTTCATTTCTCACGTGTTACTCGCCTCTCTTCCCAGTAACAAGCTCAAGCCAGAGCACTTACTGAAGTGGGATGGCTGAGGAGCAGAATTTCCTCCCATGTCGGCCGGCTCATACTGCATAAGCAACTATGTGCAAAATCCTGGTCAGTGCGGGAGAAGAGTCGCTTAGGTAAATAAAGACTGCGTTTCCTTCAAAGATTTAGGAGGAATTGGGCGTCTTCTCTCGAATTGTACAAGG